TTCAAAGAATAATTGACAATTTGATATGTGCATTTAATTAATGGGATTATTAAATAATAACATCAGTTAATACTTGTGTGCAAGAACACACCACTGGCATCAAACGTCAACATTTCATTACAAAATTAACACAATATTTGTTACAGTATAAATTGAAATTAATATTTTGAGTTAAGAAAAAAATCACAAACTAACAAATAGACAATTTTTACCATCCATTCAGAGTTTATAAAAGTGGTGGGGATGTAAGAGAGCGATGCAGAGCATAAGAGCTGCAGGAATGGAGGATGATGAGAAGGAACATAACAGAAAGCGAAGGGAGAACAAATTGACCCACTTTCATTTGTGGCGGTCAATGTGGATATTGTGGATGAGTTCTTCTGTCATCACGTTCTATTAGTTCTACAGCTTCAGTTTCGGAACTTTCACGCTTAGTAACACATACAGCTGTGCCCTCACCACAGTGCAACAGTGAAAAGGGACCCCTTTCAAACAGTGTCGCGTTCCGAACGTTGTTTAAGTGACATAAACCGGTATTGCGGTATTTTAAAAATTCATATCATAACAAAAATAAACACCGGTATTCGGTATGTACCGGTATACCGCCCAGCACTAATTTGAAGCAAAAATTAAAGATTAACTGCTGGAGATAGTTTCCAAACTATTTTAATATGATCTTGCTCAAATTGAAATCTGTTAAATCTGCCTGTGGTTGAATAAAACACCCTTATCCCACTTAACAGAGATTATGGAGGTATTCAGTGAGTTTGGTTTACACTATACAGGATATCTGCTGTCTCATGGTTTCCTTTGCTCTCATTACCCTTCACTCCTTTTGCCTCATAGCGTCACCACACCAATAGCAAACATTGCATAACAAATAATCTCTCTCTCTGTCTCTTTTGTCCTTGCAGGAACTTAAAGGTGGAAAGGCTTTTTCAAAGGTAAGAGCTTTCCCCTCATCCCTTTCTTTTCACTCTCTCTTTTTTCTTTATCTCCATCTGATTGTTTCTTCCTCACGTACTGTCTATATTGCAAATTTTTTCTCATGCTCTGTTATTCAAAAGGTTTGGGTTTTTTTCCTTGGAGCTTTATATGTTTACAAACACAAATCTCTTGTGAGTTACATGCTTGTATACCAGTATACATACTGTACTACGTGACACACAGGACATCACATGTGCAGGAAATACTGCATAAATATAAAGGGTGTAATGCAGTGGGAAGTTAGTGTTAGGGATTCAGTGTTCTGGTCTGGGCCTGCCATAGACATGTGTTTCCACACCTTGAGAATCTCTAAACCACACAGTTATCATTGCTTGTACCATCCTATGTTAATTGTACAGTAAATTCAAGCAAACACTGATAATAGACAGAAAGCTGGACACATATAAGCTTTATAAGCTTGTTTCCTATCCTTATTACTATCCTTATTTCCTATTCCTTATTACATCCTTGTAACGGGATAAATACCAGGTACACACACACACACACATATATATATATACTGTATGTATGTATATATATATATATATATACAGTATAATATCAAAGAGGTCTATTTATGAAGGACCATGTGTAAAGACTGCTAAATAGATGATTGGATGGATGGATGGATGGATGGATCAAATATTTTGAGTTAGCGTGAAGAAGTGTGACACTCATAGTCAGCAATGCTGGTTATTTGGGCATGTGACATATTGTGATATTGCTGGTTCAGGTCATCATAGCCAAATTACTGCAGAGAAAGACATGTCTGGCACGTTTGTATGGGTAATGAGTTCCAGGAGGATGTTTTGTTTGGGAGTGTACATCCGTGTCCTTTTCTCTTCATTTACTGATCCCTTACGTCCTGAGCAGGAGCACTGTGTCAAAATCGTATGCTGGCGCAGCAGAAGCATGGAATGAGGGAGGTCAAATCAATGGGACTGTAACTGGGAATAAGCGAGAAACACAGGAAGGAGGAGGTAGATATGACCTTTAAGATGAATTAAAGGGAACCTATGCCATGGCGGATATTTGAATGCTACAGTACATTGATAGTAATCTTATCAGTGTCATTGAACTGAAATGAGTTAACATGAATTTGCTAAAGGAAAATATTTGTGAATCCTGGAATCACATGACAATTGTCAGTCTCAGAATGAGCACAGAAAACCAAGGCTGTCTGGAATAAACCACATAAACCTTTTAAGAACAGGAGTCATTTCTATAAAGGAGAAGTGTGCCAGTCACAGAGGAAACAGTTTGTGCTAAAGACAGCAGTGGAACAGCAAATATAGATAAGGAAGGCCACAGACACATGCACAGATCTGTGAGAAGATGTGAAAATACCCTGATGTCTCAGTCTCTACTGCTTGTTATTGTCTCCTTTTCAAGCAGGCGTATAGTTTGCAGGTTAGAGACCAGAGGCTAAACTCTTCACCCACGGTCCCTAACATGAAATACTACACTAAATAATGTAAACTTGGCAATTTGTTGATCATTTAGCATATTAGAAACTAACATAATAGCAAGAAGAATAGTCTGACCCTAACCTTTCATATTTGGCATAAGAAATTTGAAAAATATACAAGCATTTGTATTCCTCTAGAGGTGTATGTGATGACACAGATGTGAATTATTACTAGCATTAAAGGTTAATATATGATGATATGCTGTTCTTATGGGTACAAAAATATGTATTAAAATTGATACAAAATTCTGTTCATGGGCAGTAAAAAATATTTTTCAAAATGTTTATGATGGGGTTCTTTTTCGGTCAATGAGGTTTTATAAAA